TGTTGGTCATGGGGCCTGAACTCTGGGCCTGGGCGCTGTCCCTCAGCTCTTCAGCTCAAGGCTAGCACTCTACCACTTGAGCCACAGTGCCACTTCCATTTTTTCTGTTTATGTGGTGCTGAGGAATTAAACCCAGGGCCTCATACATGAGAGGCAAGCACTCTACCACTGAGCCACCTTCCCAGCCCCAAGAGGCTCTTATCTCCAATTAACCAACAGAAAGCCAGAAGCAGAGGTATGGCTCAAGTTGTAGAGCGCCAGCCTTGAGTAGTTAAGGTGTAGCACCTAGGCCTTGAGTTCAAGCCCCAGTACTGGCACACACACACACACACACACACACACACACACACACACACACAAAGTCTAGGGCCAACTGTCTATTTGGACTACCACCTGGGTGACCTTGAACAACATCTTAAAGCTATACTTTGGGCCTCAGTTTCTTCTTTTGCTAAAGCACTCTCAGATTTGCAACTGTCTGAAGCATTACACTCCACTGTCAAGGTCTTGGTGCCCCAGCCTGGGCTCTGAGGGGTTGGTTGGGACTAGTATGGGGCAGAGCTTATTTCTAACAGATAACATTCACCCAGGTGCTACCAGGTACGAGGGCTTTGAAGTGAGATCAGAGAAAGAGTAGGCCAGGTCATCTCCAATGCTCCAATGCTCCCTCTGGACCCAGTGCTCATGTCCTGATTCCAATGGGAGGATAGGAAGAAGGATGGGGAAGAATGCAGCCCATGCTCCCGCATGGTCCCTAGTGCAAAGTTGGGGGGTGAAGGACCTCTCTGTCTGGCTTGTATCCTGAAGGCCTTACGCTGGCCTAGGGCCTCATAGAGCCTTTGGATCACACAGGGGAAGGGACCAGAGGCAGGCAGAGCCCAGAGTCCTTCAGTCCCTCTATGCTTACCGAGCCTGGAAGGTAGACCTTCTCATCCTTCTGTTCATTTTTCTGTGTTTCCATGGCCAGCTGAGCTGAAAGAGACCCAGAAAGAACATCCTGAGGCTGGGAGCAGCCAGTTGTGGACAACAGCCCCTCTCATAGTTCAGTGATCCCTCATGCTTTCCAGCAGAGGCTTCTAGAGGGAGCTGCAGGTTGGTGGGGTAGGAAGCCCCTTGTAGCTCAGTCCCTACAATCTCATTGGAGATTGTCTCTGGTGAGCCAGAAAGTAGTTGGGGAAACAGTCTCTATAGGAATGTGATTGCTTCTCAAACTTAAAGGTGTTTGGACCTTTTCCAGTGTGTGTGTGTGTGTGTGTGTGTGTGTGTGTGTGTGTGTGCATGTGCGCGCATGCGCCAGTAATGGGACTTGAACTCAGGGTCCCACACTGTCTCTTGGCCTTTTTGCTCAAGGCTGGCACTCTACCACTTGAGCTAGACCTCTTTTGTGTTTTTTTTTTTTTGCTGGTTAATTGGAGATAAAAGTCTCACAGACTTGTCTGCTCAAGCTGGCTTTGAATTGTAATCCTCAGATCTCAGCCTCTTAAGTAGCTAGGATTATAGGTGTAAGCCACTAACACCCAACAATTTATTGATTTATTATTATTATTATTGTCGGTCGTGGGACTTGAATCTGGGCCTGGACGCTGTCCCTCAGCTTTTCAGCTCAAGGCTAGCCCTCTACCACTTGAGCCACAGTGCCACATCTGGTTTTCTGGTAGTTAATTGGAGATAAGAGTCTCACAGACTTTTCTGCTTGGGTTGGCTTTGATCTGCGATCCTCAGATCTCAGCCTCCTGAGTAGCTAGGATTACAGGTGTGAGCCACTGGCACCCAACTATTATAATTTTTTGAGATAATATTTTGCTACGTTGTCTGGGATATCTCAAACTGACAGGCTTTATGGATCTTCTTGAATCAGCTTCCAAAGTAGCTAAAACCAGAGAAACCCACCGCAGTCCCCAGCTTCCTTTGATATTTTGATATTGATTTCACATGGAGTTGATCATATTTTGGAGATACCGAGTTAAATAAGGTATACTATTGAAATTAATTTCATCTTACGCTTTATCATGCAACTACTAGGAAAAAATTCAAGTATATGTGTGGTTTGTATTCTATTACCATTTGACACACATCTGTCATTGAGAACCTGAGGCTCAGAGTAGTTTGGTGCCTTGCTTGAAGTCAAACAGCTAAAATGTAATAGCGCTGGAATTGGAACCCAAGCTTCTGAATGGGACTGAGCATCTATCGAGACTCAATGTCCATCCTGTTCAATGACACCCTGGTCTTAAATGTCCCTTTGCCAGTCCCCACACAGAAGCTTGACCTGCAGAGACTGGACAAGAACTTGGTGACTTAATAGGACAGCAAGAAAAATGACCACTGGTCTGCCTGCCCCCCTCGCTCACCTTTCTTTTTTTTTAATACGTTTTTTATTGTAAAAATACTGTACAGAGGGGTTACAGTTACATGAGCAAGGTAATGAGTACATTTCCTATCAAGCATTGTTGCCTCCTCCTTTGTTTTCCCCCTACCAACCTTTCCCTCCCACCTCCACAACTACACTCCCTACCCCACACCTAAATTGTAAAGCTCATTTTTCAACATAGTGTCTTGTGCATCTCATTGTTACAATGTGTCAGCCTGTATCACTATTTAAACATTTTGTTTTTTTTACTTCCCCTCCCCAAATGAGAGAAGTGTATATACAAGATGCAGGGCACCAACATCAAATACAGTGAAAACAGGGGTTTTATTGTGGGTGAGAAACATACAAAGAAACAAAAAAAATCACATGGTACATTGTAAACATGTTAGAAACAAGAGCCAGCAAGAAAAAACCACTTGTGTCCCTCTCTTGGGGCCTCACTCACCTTTCTTTCTCCACTGGAAGATACAGCTGCCGAAGGCAATGAGGCCCGTGGCCAGCAGAAGTGACAAGATCACCAGGACTGGAGCCAACTTACGGACCATTGGGATGGTCACACTGTGGGGGCAAGATGGAAGGAGCCTGGTGTTCAAAGCCATCTAGGAAAATCTGTGAGACTCATCTTTAACCACCAAAAAGCTGGAAGCAGGACTGTGACTCAAATGGTAGAGTGCTAGCCTTGAGGCAAAGAAACTGAGACAGTGCTCAGGCCCTTACTTCAAGCTCCAGCTCCAGGACTGTCACACACACACACACACACACACACACACACACACACACACACACACATACACACTATCATGTAAAGACAAGCTGGGTGTCTGTGGGCCACACCTGTAATTTTTTGGGGGGGCCTGAACTCTGGGCCTGGGCACTGTCCCTCAGCTCTTCAGCTCAAGGCTAGTGCTTAGGAATTGAACCCAAGGTCTCATGCATGCAAGGCAAGCACTCTACCATTGAGACACCTTCCCAGCCTGACACACCTGTAATCTTAGCTACTCAGGGGACCAAGATCTGAGGATGGTGGTTTACAGTCAGCCTAGGCAAAGAAATTCCTGAGACTCTTTATCTCCAGCAAAAAATCAGAAATGGAGCTATGGCTGGAGTGGTAGAGTACTGGACTTGGGGAAAAACAAAACAAAATAAAACAGGGACAGCACCCAGGTTCTAAGTCCAAGCCCTACCTAGTGCTTGTGTGCATGCTCTCTCTCTCTCTCTCTCTCTCTCTCACACACACACACACACACACACACATTCACACACACATCCAGAGTATAGGCTACAGCTGAGAGAAGTAGGTTCTAGGGCCAGGGTGGACCCTTCACCTCTGGTGGGCCTGTGTGTACCAGAAAGCTGGCTCTTGTAGTATGGAATGTATACTGTTCAAAGACCTCTACAGAAAAATGGGGCTGAAATCTGCCCTTTATGCAGATGGTGGCTATGACAAGAGGCTTGTTTGCTTGGAGAATGAGTGTTAGGGTCAATATGTGTGTGTGTGTGTGTGTGTGTGTGTGTGTGTGTGTGATGGTTAGGGATTGCATTCTTGCTTGGCTTTCTTGTATGGCTGATGTTCTGCTACTCGAGCCACACCTCCAGTCCAGCTTTTTGCTGGTGAATTTGTGATGGAGTCTCATAGACTTTTTTGCCTAGGCTGGTCTCATACCTCAATCCTCCAGGTCTCAGCCTCCCAAGTAGCTAGGTATCTGGTGAGTTTCAGGTTTTATTGGCTCAAAGGCACTTTAGTGATGGCTGATCACCTGTGCTTGCTCACCTGTGCTTGGAGCGGCTGCTGCTGGGGACAGGATTGGTGTCCTCAGCTGTGGTGGAGTCCACCAGGATGGCTGGATGGGAACTCCCTGCATGGGGAGAGGTCGTTGTATGAGGAGAGGTCTCTGCCTGTGGAGAGGTTCCTGGGTAGGGGGAGGGTGTTGCAGGCCATTTTGGGGCCACCCCTGTGGACGGTGTGGCCTCGATCCCTGTTTTCCCCTGCTTGACTGTGGTGTTTGTCAGGCGGAGATCAGAAGACACTACAAGTCCAAAAGCAATGCCTCAGCACCCTCACTGGTCCCCCAGCCCCACCCCCCTCCCTCCCCCTCCCGGTGACCCAGGACCAATTTCTCAGATCATTGTCAGCTAAAGGACCAACCCTAAGCAATCAAGCAGAGGCCTAGGTGAGGCCCTTGTGAGCAAGCAGGCCACCCATTAGGTACCTCCATGCATAGTTTTAGCTTCTTTCTGTGCAACTTCTGCAACCCCCCTAACCCCCTACCCCCGCCACCTACAAGAAGCCCACCTACCAACCACTTTCAACATTCAGGACCTGGCAGGGCAAGGTTGTAAGATCAGGGCCCAAGGTCAGACTTTGTGGCTCAGCCTAGATCCTGGATGGAGCAGAGTGAGGATGAGCTTTGTGGTCAGCCTCTGGTCCCTTCCTGGCTCTTCCCATGTGACCTGAAGCAAGCACGCTCACTCCCAGAGCCTCTGCTTCCTCAGCTTAGCAGGCTGGCTCCCAGGTTTGTTGGGGAGCACCTGACTGGTGGTAAAACCCCATGGCAGGTGTCAGGTAGATACTCATTAAGATGCTTCCTGAAGTAGTGGGGGAGAAGGGACTGAAAAACCTTTCACTCAATTCTGGGGGCTGAGTACGCCAACCTTTTGACTTGGGCTGTGGGCGCTGCAGGCTTGGTACAGCGGTAAGAGGCTGGAAGGAGGGAGTGGGAGGAGGACAGCAGTGGCCAGTGGTACTGGCGCTGTCCCGATTTCCTAGAGGAAAGGGAGAGGCTGTTCTCAGGGGAGGCAGGAGACATGGGGGCAATCACTGGTCCTACCTGGGAGCAGCTCCTGCTTTCCTCCCAGAGGTTATGGCTGATTCTGAGTCCTCCCCCACTGTACTCTCTTGGCTTCCCATTACTTCAGATTTCCTGTGACCCTCAACTGCCCATCAACCAGCTCCTTCCAGGCCATCCTACCTACAGATATCCTTCCTTTCCTCCTTCTCTTCTTTCCCTTCCCTCCCTCCCTCCCCCTCCCTCCCTCCTTCC